AATGGCTTTATAACCTTTTCCAGACTGATAAATCTCAATTACTGTTTCTCATTTGTTCCTGAATTTCTTTGGATCGCAGCATGATGTCTAACTTTTGAGGATCTTTTGGTCTACTTCACTTTGTCAGGCAAGTCCTATTTAAGTGATTTCTTGATTGAGAACAGGTGTGGCAGTAATCAGGCCTGGGTGTGGATTGAACTCAGCTTTCCAAAGATGTGATAAACCACAGTTGATTTATGTTTTAACAGGGGGGGCAATCACTTTTTCACACAGGGCAATGTAAGGTTTGGATTTTTTTTTTCCCTTAATAATAAAAACCTTCTTTTAAAAACTGCATTTTGAGTTTACTTGTGTTATCTTTGTCTAATATTTCAATTTGTTTGATGATCTGAAACATTTCAGTGTGACAAACATGCAAAAAAATAAGAAATCAGGAAGGGGGCAAACACTTTTTCACACCACTGTATGGTACAGTATATCCCTTCTGAAGAAAAGGCTTACCAAATACAGTTTGGAGGATACTGTACCCCTTTGTCACTTTCTCTCATTTTTTGTACACAAGAATTCAGATGACATTCAATAGTAAGAGTAACCAAAAATTGTACTGACTTGGTTAAAGGCACAGTACGGTCTGATATCCTCAGCCCAGCCCTTTCCATTTTAGATTTATAAGATTTAATCCTAAAATACCTTAATAAATGGAAATAGGATAAAACACCATAACCCCTTAAAAGAGAAAGAAACATTTTCTGGATTATTTTTCTTTTTTTTGGAGTGCCTCTTTCTCCTGAAATACGTAATTGCTAAGAAAAAAACAAACATTAAATGATATTCAGTAGAACAACAGTGTTGCCTGGTACACATCAGTCACAAATTCACTATACATTTCCCAAAAAAAGGATTACAACTCTCTGGTGTAAATTGTTTCTAGGATAGAGGGTTGATGGAAACACAAGACACAAAGAAACTCAGATTTCTTTTTGATTTATTACGGTCATGGAAACCAACTAGGTACCAAGAGAATTATAAACATCTTTACAACAATAAAAAACACTGTTTGAATGGTCTTCTGTAATATGCTGGTTTGCATGTTTATGCAACCTGGCTCACTAAGCCTATGGCACACTGGGCCCAAGGCACCATCTCTATCTGGTAACGGCTCTTGAGGAATGACGCACTAGGAATGTGAATGCTTTGTGCAGCCAATGCCTCTAGGGGACAAGAACACATCAGCATTGAGCAGATATACTCACAAGCTTAATATAGAAATTTTATGAGCATGGAGTATGTGTACAACTTTGTTCTGTACTTTTTGAAAACCCAATACTTTAATGCCTTCAAGGATACATTAACCAAAAAAAAAAGAAAACTCTAAACATGTTTAAAGGTCCCGTTTGGTATGGGTCATACGTATTTCAAGTCAGGTAACATTTAAGTGTCCATCGGTCAGATTTGGCTGGATTTTTCCTGTATAATTGACAATTATGAAAGAACTGGGATTGATAAAAGCACAACTATTTGCCAAAAGATTAATAGGTTAGCACTATAGAATTATTAAATTATTGGTTCACTAAATATTAATTTGATGAATTTGTAAAAGTACTGGCAGCAAGTTCTGTAAACAATAATTCAGATAGCATTCAATAGCAACTTGTGGACTTTAGGTTTCACCTACATTTGTAGACTTTCTGGTCTTAATTTCAAACAAAGGGCAACAGTACAAACCATGTTTACATATAAAATTACTGTACATCATGAAAGTTGATAAAAACAACTGCACATAAAGATCTGTCACAAATTGACCCAGTACCAATTATAATTAGATTTAAAATCTTTTGCAAGCTTTTTTCCTCAAAACAAAAAAATTGAATACAACCACATACTTCTTAGCCAAACATTTTGACATTACAAATATACTAGTGTTTCATTATCCAAGATATCAAATTGCACAGATCAATTTATATATATTCGAAGTGTCAGACTGTCAATACTATATAACATTTTTAGAAATCACTTAAAACATAGATGATAAATATGCCACAAAACACATGGGGGAGGGACATTTCATTCAGTTCCTGAGTGAGTTACAAAAATATCACCTTTTAGTAATGACCTTTTAAGTCAGCACATTTAACTAGCAACTATTTGGCTATGGAAATGAAAGATAAGAATGTGACCACTTAATAGCTTAAAAGCACCAAATAGAAGAAAACTGGAAAGTTTGCTTTAACTTTACAAATATTATATCAGATCATAAAGCCCTACACTAAATTAATATTAAACAGGAACAAGTAATAAGTAAAAATTAAAATGTGAAGTACAATGAAATAGTGCATTTTCATTTGGTAGGTTTCACCTCAAGTAGGCTAGGGACAGTGCTTGACATCTTTTTTTTAAATGAACCCCAGTAAGAAATTTTTTTCTAACCTTCTAAAATGTCTGTCACTGTGTACAAGAAATGCAACAAAAGAATACAGGTTAGGTAATTTTGGACAAGCTCCATGGCATCCTTTAAACAAGGAAAGAATTCTAAAGATCTCCACTTTACAAGGCCATTCGTCTACCCTGCAGTGCTTTCTCAGTATCAAGTGATGTACAGTATATCTAGCATTGGGACAGCCTTCCAAAAATGAGTCATTCAAAAGACGTGAATAAGAACCTCTATTTAGATCAATCAAAAAGAGGCACAGAAAGCACACAATTATAGAAAAATGGTACTTGCAATTGCATAGTGCGGTCTGTAAGTTTTTTTGAGTGTTCACTTTTTCTATAAGCCAATATAAATGTATAAATATTTCTATGTGTCAAGTTAATCAGCTATTCTAACTAAACCAAAAAATTCGGATAGACTTTGCAAAGCCGTCTTGCTGGGAAATGATTCAATTTCCACTGAAACCTTGTGTTTTTTCAGATGCAGCTTTCTGAAGATATTTCATTTGCTGGAGCTAGAGCTTCCAGATGGCCTGCAGAAACTGCATTTGTGTTCACAGGTATCTTTACATGTGAAAAATATAGGTTTAATTTATAAAGCAAGAGAATGGCAATAAAAGAGTAGTTGGGAGGAGTTATAGTTACACTGTAGAAGATCATCAAATCTTCCCAGAACATATCATTCCTTTGATGGTGTATTACAAAAGGAAGTAACACATACTATAAAGTGCTGTCACACCCAACATGCCCATTTACATTATTTCACTTCTATTTTTGACAGGCCAGCTTGTGTAGAACAAATTCTCATGGTGTTAATTTAGCATAAAAACACATACTATTACGTTTATATCTATTGACTGGAAATATATTCTGAAAGGAAATATGGGATGCTACTGATGTACCTACCTCATCATAAGTGTAACGGTAGTCTGCTTTCTTCGATTTTAGGTCCCATAATGCCACTGTCCCAGACTCAAAACCAATGATAAGCTTCAATAAAAAATACATACATAACACATCTGCTTTAGCATAATGAAAACATAACATATACACATTGCCTTCTGAAAGAGAAATGCACACTTAATAAACTATTTTATATAGCGCTTTTAAAGGTGGCTTCTCAACGTGCTTAGCAGCATGTTTAAACATTTACCAGCATGTTTATCATTTTTAAAGCTCTCTCTAACCTGACTTATTGGGGATTTTTCTGCTATGACTTCAATCTATGATCAGTCATAGCCTGATCAGAATAAAACGTTAAATTAAAAAAGGACATTTGACTTTTTAAAATCAAGTGCCCCTCAAAAAAAATTTTCAAGTGGAAACAAATTGGAAGACCATCCTTTAACATTAAATATTCATTTTTTTCTAAACAACTGAGTTCTGCTGAGGTGATAGAATTCTAACACGAAAGATTTCAGAACCCAACCAATCACTCTTCTTGACTTTCTTAATGGATCCTTGAGCACTAATGTCAATCTGGACAAAATTGCTGCAAAGATAACACTATCTTGGATTAGTTGTTTCCAAAACAAATGCATTCATACAGTACACACATGTGTATAAATGGATACATACATTTATACATATACCTATCTGCAAGTGTGTGATGTGTCATGACACAGGTGCTATAATACTGCTGTATAATAGCAATCCAAATATTCTAAGGATTTTTTTTAGAACATTACCTCTAAATTGCTTTTAAATGGCCCTTATCCCACATTTCTGATATTAAAAACAAAGAATGTTTTTTGTTCTCTGTGCTTTGACAAACATTTTAATGTGATTTTAGATTTATACCTTTCCTTCATCCATAGGATTATCGCTTATGTGGACAACTGGTCCTGGGTGGGACTTAGAAGATCTGAAAAATAAGAGAGAAGGGAGGGGTGACAGAAAAGTCTTAGCAACATCTTTAATGTAACAGAAGATTAGAGAGCAAAGCATGCACAGCACTGTTACATAAGTGGCACTCACAAAGTCACACTCCATCAGCTTTCCAGGCCTTCCAACATAAATAAAAAAACACCATTTAATCTGTCACAAAGTCCTGAAGGAAGAAGTTCTCTTTGGAAACAAAATAACAATGCTACCAGTTTTGGAGATTTTAGTCTGTGCTGGTTTATAATGTGTAAGTTGCTGGTTCTCTGTACTGATTGCATGTATAGTTTGTGCTCTAGTTTTACATGTAAGTTTTACATACCATAAAGAACTCTAACCTATTTAATATATCCTCCCAGCTCCATAATACGTATTATTTACCAGGAAATTCACCAAGAATGGCAATATATTAAAAAAACATATTTCAGCAGTGAAATATGTTGTCATTTCATAGGCTGAGGTTCTTCTTATTCATATCCTTCATTTACTCTCAAACTCAGTACAGTTTAAACCCAGAGCAGAGGAATATGGGTTCTCTGGCCTTTTTCACAGAAGAACAGAGAACAGAGAACAGAACGGCCAAAACAACTTTTTTAGGGCTGCAACATTACCTGTTTAAACCCGATTCTTTCAATAACAGACAACTTCAAGCAGTTATTTTATACTGTGATTGCTGATACTCTTTAAGAGCTTATCAAAACATTTACAGCAAGTATGTGTACAATACATAGAAAAAGATTTGAAAAAGGAAAATTTTCAGTGATCAAATCTTTTTTCAGGTTCAATCGATGCAGATTCATAATTCATCAAAACAACTTACTTCGGTAATTTACATAATTTAAAAGACTCAGGTTCTGTCATCTGCTTTTGTATCAAGGTTAACTGGGCAGCTCTTGCTGAATAAGTAAACTGCTGTTGTGAGCTCTGTACTCAAAGCATCTAGTCTGAGGTGTAACTGCAGAGAAGAGTACTTGGCTTCTTACTGTAGAATGTAATGGAGTCACTGATACATGTCAAGTATCAATTCATTACAATGCTTAAAACAAGCACAGACAACTATGGAGGAAAGTCTCATTCCAAAAAGAGGTCATCTCAGAGGCAGAAATGTAATTGTGATTAGATGGTATCCACTTACAGTATGAAATACAATATTATTTGGGCCAATGGTGACAAAGGCAATAATTACAAAACAGATTTTAAAATAAAGCAATAAAATATTTTGTAATACAATATTACGATTCCTGATAATAACACGAACAGACTGACTGGGAGACACTGTGCTGTAGGAGGTGCTGGCAACCTACCATTTTTTAAGCCCTTTGGGATTCTATTGAGAAGAAAAACTAAGGAAATTTAAAAAAATATATATTACTTTAGATTTTGTAAAACCTGATTTACCCATAATCACCCTCTCCAAATGAACTGGTTATGAAAGCCATCTCTAGCAGCCAAATTACACTAACACTGCAAGAAACTGCTGCAATGAGCTAATTTAATAACTTTTTATTGACCACCGTAGGTCCTCTGTCCTTTATGCCCTTTTGCCTTCCACTCATACATATGAGATCAGCTCAAACGGCCTCAACAGGTATCCACATATTTTGGAACGTTATATGTCCTTCACCTGTTACTCTTAAAAAGCACTGCTTTGAATAAAACAGAAATTTCAGAGATTCTGTTTCAAATACTCTATGCAAACAGCGTTGTTTATAAATGCTGCCTGTGGAAAACAGAACCTGGCCTGAAGCTTTTAAGTCTACATTGTTACAGAAGAATACAATACAGGAAAAGCTTCAAATCATGTAGCATGTTTTCACTATTAAAGACAAAGCAAAGTTCTTGTATTTTGTGCTCTTTGACTTCTATACAGTATGTGTGGTTGCAGCTAGTGTCTCCAGTACCTCCCCATAACTTCACTGCAAGGACTGCATTTGAAATGGACAATGTCTACTGTATTTATTTGAGAGGGATAGAGAAAGATTTATCAAGATGCACTAAGTGCAAACCATCAGCATTGGGTTTAGAATGTATTAACTGAAAATAATATTGGAATGGACAGAATTTGGTTCTGAACTAGATGGCTCTAATATATACACTTTCATAGATCACTCTGAAAACCTGCATTAATTACCACCTTTAAGAAATAATGAGCATACAGAATTACAAAGAGGTTTAAGTGTTTTTGATATGTAATGGGTTTATTTAATTAAGTTGCTGAAGAATATTTCAATTTTATCATGTTAAACAGCACACATATTTAATTCACTGTTTTTATTGTATTCATTATGCTTAAAACAAACCTTAATTCTAGTGCCTTGTTACGGATAACAAACCATGTTGGATAACAGATTACCATGGTAACAGAAGCAGGAGCCTGAAACAGGCTCAGTGAAATGAGGCAGGCAGTGCAGAAGTAGAATGTAAAATGCAATGTCATTTGTCTGATATAATGTAGCTAAAACTGATGTCGCAGAGCAAATGTCTTTTCACTGTGACAGTGCTGCTATTAGAATAAAGTGCTAAATCCGATATTTAGGCACTAACTTCAAAGATGTTGCTATAATAGTATGACAACTTTGCATGTTTTGCTGATTTTGTTTAATCTAACGGTGTTTTATTGATTATGACAATTAGATTGACATTGACAATTGACAATTATACAGTAGACATTAGATTTAGATCTTCATTCATTATAGGAACTCGGTTTAGAGTTAAATAATGCAAATAATAAGTGGTACTGGTACAGTACAGTATTTACCATGACACTATATTGGTTTTACATCTCACTATGGAAAAGATTTTAAACATCATAAAATCGTTAACTCCAGTTACAAAGAAAACAGTATATTAAACAAAACCAAGACATGTATTCACTGCATATTCAGGAATACAGACAGGAAAGCTTTCAAATGGAAGAAAAACAAAAAAGAAGGGATTTATGCACACAAAGAATTGTTACAACATTTTTTCATGTACACTGCAAAACAAGTTTCCAAGTTTTATACATTAGCAGGAAATAACTAAAGTGAATTTAGCAGCACTGGACCTAAACCCATGGGAGGCTTTAAAGCTTTTGTGATAAAATGTGGTGCAAAATGAGAACAGTGGTAAATATTTAATGAGTACAATAGATTTAGGCTCTTCTGAAGACTGTTAAAAAATATTCCACGGCTCTGATTCTATTTACTCCGCAATGTGTGTTAGACCATCAGAATTTTTATTTGGGGGGGGGCTCTTCTTTTGCCCTGCAAGCCCAATGCACCAATGAAGGTGACTTTTCCAGGATCTCAGTAGAGCAAGGCAGATTCATGACAAGGACATGATCGACAAAGGCCTGGGGTTGAGTGCATGAAGTCAGAGCTCCAAGAGGAGACAAGCATGAAAGTGTAGGGAAACAAAGACCTTTGCCGAAGGGTCACAGGGGGCCTGCAGCTAGACTCATATCAATCACTGAGTCTGATGCCGCAGTCTCAAAGTCAGCATTCCAAACAGCAAGTGCTACTTCTAGTAAGCAGCTTGGAGAACAACTAGACTATAAGATACAGGAATTGTATATGTTTAAATATTGGATATTTAAAGGAGCTTTCTAGCTAAATTCACACTTCAAATAGCTACAGTAGGTGTCAGAAAAGGCTACAGGAACAAACCCTTGAGAGTGGCATGCTGCACAGCCATTCTGGCCTTGTGTACAGAACACCAGGATATGTATTGTATACAGTAAAGTACCGTGCATTTTTATTAAATACTTCAACAATTGAGTTTAGGTATCAAACATCATTTAAGCCCTGGTTTTTAGTAAAGATGACAGAGTACAGATGTCTGCAATGAAATCTTTTCCAAGGTTAAAGGCTCGAGCTGCCGTAATAGGAAATATGTGGATTCTCTGTGACAATGCCAGTTCAGGCACTTGCTACTGCTAAATGAAAATATGACACCTAATCTCTTTTCTGAATTACGCTGCCTGTCCAGTGCATCAGAAATATATCTTCCTTACACTTTCTGGAAACAAGCCAACCGTTCAGATCTTTTTGGCATTTTATAGCAGGTGTTAATAAAATGTCTTAAGCAACCTGAAGGATCAAATGAAACAAAAATAGAAGAAAGCCAGACACCAGAATTCTTTATTTTTCTCTTTGACATATATCAAGGTCAAATGTGAACAAGCCTCTGAGATTTTATTCCAGCAGTGCTTTTATGAATTAGCAGTGCTCTGTAATGGTAAATATATCAAGCTGTAACAATGTTAAGTTTGGTATATTTAACATTTTGTTTACTAACTTTTAAATTAAGTGTTGCATGTACCACCTGAGGCCTTTTTAGAACAAATAACTAAATATTACTAGAATGTCTTTTTTCAGAAAATCTGATTACTGTTAGGCAAAATATACACTTAGGGGAACTGGAGTAAAATAATCAGCATTATATCTAAACTGCACTTTCACCTAAATAATGTATTTTCTTATTAGAAAGTTTATAAAAATGAAAAAAAACTTGGTTAATTTAATTATGCATTAAGGACATTCAAAAATTTGAAAAACCCTGTGGCATACTATACCTGTAAGGATAATCAAACACTTTTCATTTCATGCTTAATATACATTAAAACTAAATCTAATATTCCCTCTTAATTTTTGGTTTCTGCTACTACTTGAACCGAAGTACAGCTTTTCGCCTTCTACTAAGAAGCTAGAAGGTTCTCAACCATAGGCTGCAAAGACACAGACCAATCATTAATGAAGCGTTCAAAGAAAAATAAACCAGATCAGTTCTACAGTACCTGATAATAAATGTTGGTCTGATAATTTAAAGGAGCTTTCTAGCTGAATCCACACTTCAAATAGCTGTGTATGACAAAAAGGCTAGAGGAACAAACCCTAGAGAGTGTTATATTGCACAGCCATTCTGGCTTTGTGTACAGAACACCAGGATGTGTGATGTAAAGCAATGTTCAGAAACGTTTCTTTGACAGGAGTACGTTCCTTA